ATTCATTCATTCATTCATTCATTCATTCATTCATTCATTCATTCATTCATTCATTCATTCTATTTGTATGCTGCCCATCTCCCCAATGGGTGACTCTGGGCAGGTCAAGATAACCTTCAGAGAAGGAATATGGCAGTTAGCAAAACATGATTTCAACCTGGAAAAAGAAGAGAACATTAGAAAGAAATTCAAACTGGTCCCGCCCTAACTCAGCCTTTCAAAATTTTGCTAAGACAGCCAACATCAATAGAATTTTAGCATTTCTCATGGAGTCTATTTCCTGACCTTGAAGGGCTGACACATCTGGGCAGATTTAAGGGGCTATTTAAGTGGTAAAGTAGGTGTGTTGAGCCTCTTGAAGATTTGGCACATCTCTTTTCTACCATTGGAGGAAACAGATGGCAGAAAATCATGCCTCTGATTCCACCCAGCCTCCAGATTGTGTGGCTAAGCACACGATCTTGGAGGAGAATAATAGACCAGAAGAGAGAAAAAATTCAGCCCTTTTGTGGCCTGTGGGGCCATGAATTAGGCACCCTGAAGTGAAAGGCCAAGCGGTTTATTTGTTTACTTATTTATTACCATTTTTTCTATATTGCCCGAGTCAGATGAATAAAGGAGAAAGATAGAAAATAGATAATAAAATAGTGAAATAGAAAGATAATCAGAAACTCACTGGAAAGAATAGAAATAAGAGATAAATCTGGTAGCCCAGTCATCAAAACATCTTAGAACATCCAGCTTCCAATGTCCTATTTGTAAGTTACTTCTTAAAGTGTGTTACAGAAGATCAGTAAGGAAGATGGCAGGTCATCAAGTATTCCATACCATGGAGGTTTTCCATAGCATGGAAGTGCTCCGTAGTATGGAGGCCATTTTATGACCTGTTCCTCTTGATGTTTTATAGGGACGGGACCCTAAATATCCCCTCTGTATGTCTTTGCCTGGGCTGGGCAGATTCTGCTTCCAGAAGATAGTCCCTGAGGAATTTGAGGATGGAAGAGAAGTTGATCAAAGTAAGCCTGAATTGTTGGTCACTGTCACATTATTATTATTTTTGAATCCTCAAAGTCTTCAAAAGCATTCTTGTGTTTGTGAAGAATATACACAGTGAAGCATCCTATATACATACATACAAATACAGTGGTACCTCGGGTTACAAACGCTTCTCTTAACGAACTTTTCGGGTTATGACCAGCTCTGGCCGCAAAAATTTACCTTGGTTTGCGAACTCCGCCTTGGGGTATGAGCAGGATACACGGCCATTTTCCTTCCCATGACACGGTCCGCGGCCATTTTTCCACCCCTGACACATGGTCTGCAGCCATTTTCTGCCCCTGATACGTGTTCCGCGGCCATTTTTCCGCCCCTGACACGTGGTCGTAGGGAGGGGGACTCTCCCTCCAAGCAGTAGCCGCCTCCCTGTCCTCCATGCCAGAATGGATTAATGGTAATTACATTGAACCTTATGGGGAAATTTGCTTTGGGTTGCGGCCAATTTGGGTTGCGGCCAGAGTCACGGAATGAATTAAGTTCGTAAACTGAGGTTCCATTGTATATTGACTACAGGAAAGCCTACCAGTCATTGTCACACACATGGATCTGTGAATGCCTAGCGTTATACAAAGTCAACAGGACACTATGGACCTTCCCCAAGAACTCAATGGGGCTGCGGAGGACAACACTGGAAGTGAACTCAACAGAGCTCGCACAAGTGGCCATCAAGTGCGGCATATTCCAAGGTGATGCATTGTCCATGCTGCTGTTCTGCATAGGCTTGAACCCTCTCAGCCAGATAATTGCAAGGACTGGATACTTATACAAGTTCAGGACTACCATCAGCCACCTCCTCTATGTGGATGACATCAAGGTGTATGTTAAGAGTGAACGAAACATCAACTCGCTAATCCACCTGACATAGATCTGCACTGAGGACATTGTAGGACTTCTGGACTGGAGAAATGTGGCCAGATGGTAGTAAAGAGAGGGAAGGTAGTTAAGACTGATGAGGTGCAACTACCAGTGGACCAGATAGCAGACATACAGACTAGCTACATGTTCCTCGGTATCCCATAGTCACATGGGAACCACAATGAGGAGGCAAAGAAGACAGAAATGTCCAGGTACCACCAAAGGATAAGACAGGTGCTGAAAAGGAAGAACAAGATCCATGCCATCAACACGTATACCCTGACAGTCATCAAATACCCTGCTGGTCTAGCGAACTGGTCAAAGGAGAACATGGAGGCTGCCAATGTGAAGACCTGAAAGCTCCTCACACTGTATGAAGGTTTCCACCCCAAGTCCAACACCCAGAGACTGTACACCAGCCAGAAAGAGGATGGGTGGGGTCTGTTGAGTGTCAAAGCCGCTGTTCTGAATGAAACCCAGAGCATCCAGTACATCAGTAAGAAGGCACCCAAAGATGAGCTGCTGAGAGAATGCCTGAGGCAACAGCAGGCATGGGAGGAAGTTCAAGCAGAAGAAGTGCCATGGCAAGACAAGACCCTGCATGGGGTGTACCATTGACGGATAGTACAGGTGGCTGACATTGGGAAATCCTACCAGTGGCTGGAAAGGGCTGGACTAAAAGACAGCACTGAGGCACTGATCATAGCAGCAGAAGAACAGGT